CATACACGTAAAGGCTTTTCATGGGTGTGACCGATGAATTATCTTTCGTTACGTTGGGCTTTTTACAGCAGAGCAGCCGAGGGCCAAAACGCGTCAAAACAAGCCATGTTAAAGTAACAGGCCTGTCGTCAGGGAAACGTTGGCTTTGCCTGAGCAACGCTCTAATTATTATTATTTTTTTTAATCTTGTTTAAAATGTATTTTATGCGATCTATTGCCACTAATCCAATAAAACAAGATGCAATGTAAATGTTTTCATGTGACCATGATTTAAACTTAATTTCAAAACTAATCATGGGGTGGATGAGCCAGTTGACAAAACACCTTTTCCCCAATAAGAGAGATTGAATAAGAGTGCATTTACGCTTTTTTTAAAACACTGAATTAACCATCAGTATAAACCTCCCAGGGATGTGGTCAATAGATGAGTAACACGCAATAAAAACGATGCAATGACTAATTAAGAAAGTATCATCACATTTAGAATAATTCAATACCAGCGTACTATCAAATGGGCAGAATCATTAGAATTCAAGATGAGGCTTTCATCACGGCATGGTGCCATGACAATGTAAGAAATGATCCACTTTTGGATTTTGCTGCCAACATCTTCTCCATTCGGGGTCATGCCCCCAGACTCCCCCCAACTTGGCTGACATCAAAATATCCCTGTGGAGCCCCTCGCTTGGGCTTCTTGTAGCCCAAGCGAGGGGCTGATCACCTGGATCCCAGTGATACGGTAGAGTGTGTTTGAGATTCTGTTTGTCCAAAAAGAAATGACCAGGTCTCCTGAGAGAGCCATCATAGAATGTCAAGACCGATTTCCCATCAGCCAGCAGTAGATGGGATGAAGTGCCAACTCTTGGACCTGATAAAGCACAAAGGCTATGCAGTCCAGTCAAAGCAGTAGAAACGTACCCGGATTAACAGAAAAAAAGCAATAATACTTTGCCTCATGCTGCTGTCTACCTTGCTCTCCAATCCCTATGAGGGACTGAGAGGAAGCATACAAAATGACATCTGTGGTCTCTCTCCGGAGTTCGGCAGATGTGGTCCAGAATTTCTCTGTAGAACTCAAGCATGTGTGGATTTGTGTTGCTTGTCTTTTTTGTGGTGTGTGCTAAAAGTCTTGCTAGTGTGCACCAGAATGTGCACCTTGACACTGTCATCATAAAAGATATCACTGATTAGATGTTTATGGGACCTCCCTGTGGGCCTTTTATATGGAATGCTTCCATGAATATCTAACCGACCTCCAGCTGGTGTGGGACACAACAAGAAGAGAAGTGTGAGGCCTAAGTGATAATTGAGATGTTCCACAGCAGCTCCGAGCTGCCTCGATGTCAGCTGGTAAGGCATCTTTACACTTCAGTTTTTACAATGAAAAATACATTGTAAAGGACATAGGTTGATTAAATCACTATCAAATATCAAATGAACCTAACACCATCTCTGCACTAATATGCGGGTACGATAATCACCGGTTTCATCAAGGAAATATTTGAAACGGTCACAAAGAAATTTAAAACAAACGATACAAAACGGCTGAAAAGCATGAGGTGATCCATGGTGTCACGTTCTGTTACTGCAACAGCAGCGGCGCTGAAGTCACTGAACATTGGACCTGATTTGAGGAAACATTTAGGAAACTGCCGGGTGTTGCGTGTCGATTCCATTGTATTTGAAACATGTTCACCGACTCAAGAGTTTAACTCGCGAATCAATTTGATTCTCATTAACAATCCAATAGAAATGCCCATCGTCGTTGTCACAGCGCTCTGAAGCTCTTATTCAACCCACATCCGTCTTTAATCATTTTCTTACCATAACACACTCATTCATAAGGTACACACAGCTAGTGGTGCCGTAGATCCGACCTTCATGAACACCCTTGAACACAAAGCAGGAACGTCCAAACCATTGCGTTGCGGTTTGGTGCGACCGCACGTTTCAGCTGCAGGGCGGAATCATAACAACTGTGGATTTCGGCCTTTTGTGGAAAATGTGGTACTTTTCTGCATTTTCCGTGCCTTACGTTGCCCGTGGTGGCCAGCGAGCTGGGGGGAAGACAGGTGGCCGGCAACCTGGTGAGAGCGGGCCACTCCGGCTTATGACGGTGAAAACATGGACGGGCGTCGTATTAATCCAATTCCACGGCCGTAATGTGGAAAATCCAGTGTGAGCTTTATATGGAGTAGCCTCGGGCAGCAGAAGCCAGCAGTGATTTCAAATGGCACAAAGGCACCGGGCCTGAAATGCAGCACATAGATCTCTGTGGCTGCCTGTCTGCCATCCTCTGCCCCTCTCAGCATCACTCGGCTTAATTTCACCTTCCTTCCAATTTGCCGTCTCGTAATACTCTGATGGCCTTTCTGCTCATTTCTCTGCCTGCAGTTCCCTTCTTTGATCTTCCCCTCACAACCCGACAGCCCGGGCCGTTACGACCCAAATCCATCCTCTTTTCCCCCCGCCGATGATTCTGGTGCTCACCTCGTTCTTCTCCACTGTCTTTGCTCTCAACAGAAACCCTTCAGGAGTCTTCGGAGATGTTGCTTGACTCTTAACGGGGGGTGAAGGAGCAGCTAAAATAATATTGATATGTACTTATTTTTTAATGAAGATGCTGCGATATTACTGGAGGATTTTATAAGGTTTGCGATCAATATCAGAAACCTAATTATTTTTTCTGCGCTATGCTGAAATGTTAATATTGAAATCCCCCAACACTCACCAATCAACATTTATTGCCAAAATATGTTAGACATACGAGGAATTTGAAAATGGCGGTAGGTGCATATCCTCAGACAGACCGATATCAAATGGCATGTTCAATTTGCAAATATACAATTTAACTTCACGGCATAAGGTTACGGGCATATAGAATAGACAATTTAAAAATAAAGGGTAAGAAGGGATTTAAATTAAGTGCACAAGCGATAACCATACCGTACACAACTGTTGTGTGTGTGCATGTGGAGTGTGAAGGGAGTGACCGGTGGGATGTCAGTCGGTCAGGGGGGGCCGGGCTCTGTTGATGAGTCTCTCCTCTTTACCACATTTTGATGTTTGCTAACACACATTCAATGTCAGTAAAGTATCACTGCTTGACACCGCCGGTTCAGCAGGATGTGGCGTTGGCGTATCGTGGGCGTGTCTGTGTCACTGCAGTGTGTGTGTGGTACATGCAAAATGGCGCCTGCAGAACTACGCCCCCCTCCTTTCACCTGGCGCCGGCCATGGACTGCAGGTGCGTTGGCCTGCTGCTGCTCTTTCCTGTGCACATTCGTTTTTTTCGTCTGGAGAACATGACTACTTTTCTCGTTGCTGTTTTTGACGTGCACAATAATATTTACATACGAAGGATTCGATCGCAAACACGCACCAATATCGGCGGTTGCTTTTCAGTGTAAAAGTTAATGGTTAATGTTTACTTTTGGGCAGTGTTTCAAAGGAAAAGGACAGTATCGCCTAGTATTTTCAATAAGCATGACTTTTGACCGCCATCATTACATTTATTTCCTCGTCTATTGCTGACCACTTGACGCTTTGCAAAGTTGGAGTGTCCTCACTCCTCATTCTCTCACTTCCTTCTCCTCTGCTAATAGTTGCGCCCTTTCGTATCTCCCGTACCAATAATTGCGGCGCCTGAGGTGCTGAGCTTTAATGTGTGAAGATGGAGAGCAAGAGAATGAGAAGAAAGATAGAATGAGCGAGGGAGACGAAATATAGCTGTTACCCAAACCCAGCACAGACCCCCCCCCCGTGTCTCCTCCCCTCATCTTTTCTCATTTCGATTGAAAGCGAATGTCCCGGTGTCACGTGCCGCTGCCTCATGAGCCCCATGCCAGCAGCGCGGTGCTTCTCATTTCATGGTGGCGCCAAACAGGGAACACACAGACACAAATGAGGGCGGTTAATGCATTCCAAGCGCCTTATCTCCATTGAAAGATGACATGCCATTTCGTTGACACCGCTCCTCCATACAAGCAGACAACATCCCGGCTCTCCCTCGCTTACTTAGATTACGCACTCGGGGAGAACTAATGCAATGTCTGTTGTCCCTCGCCAGTGGACCAGAGTGAGCCTATTAAAATCACATCGCTAGTTGCCTTTCTCCACTATGTGCGCCTCATTAAAAGCCTGTGGCGCCATTAAATGAACAGGCCCGAAGACAATGCTCACAACTCCATTATAATATCTAAAATGACCCCCTAAACACCACGACCAGTTGTGTCAACAGGCGCTGACGGGATTCATCAGCAGCATCATACTGGAGCTCGTTCCCAAGAGAAGCTCGGAGGAAAAGCTGCAGTAAAGGTCACGTGAAGTGAAGCGGATGGTTACTCAATGGGTACGGTGGCTTTTAACGGCGTTGACGGAGGAGCGCCGGGTCCTTTTAACGATGCACAATGAGGAAGCAACTCGATTGGTTCAGACGAACAGAAATGTCACCCCAACTGAATCTGTGATCTAGAGATGAATTTATTCCTTTCCATCAGTCTCTCAAACATTAAAGCGACAGCCTCGCACGAATCTGTTCAGGTTCCTTTAAACTTTACACAGGGATTTATTCAAGGATTGAAGAATAAATGCGTCGGTAACCTGACTTTATTTTTAACTTTGTAATCTCTGCCCATTGGAAATGAGAAGTGATTGAGAAGACGTATGAGCCTGCATATTACTGCCCGCACGGCGGCTGCGTAGGACAGAAATAAATAATGCATTGTGACGATCAGGGTTTGACCAACGTGTTTTCATGATATGTATTTTATGAAATATTCCTTTCCTACGGTGCAAAACACTCATTGTGTTCATATAGCAGCGAAGTTACTCAAATTATAATGTTGTTAAATGACATAAAGCACAAATGAGTCGGTTCCAACTCCACTTGTATCATTTTATTTATAGTCAAGCTTTATCCCCTTTAATTTTAGACCACTTCAAAATATTGATGACCTTTCATTAAACCTGGTTCACTATTCCCTTTTTTTAACCTCCAGATGCTGCCAGGACTGGTTTCTGATGGGGGGGTTGGACAAGTCAATGCATGCACAGCTCATCCGCTTATCGACAGCTCGCAGCGTTGCCCCAGAACTCCATCAACAGTGTCACGGACCCACAAGAAGGAAATTACCAGCTGGTTGTGGACAAGAAGCTTGTTGGACGATTGCAGGCAAAGACGCCGGAAACTTTGAAGTGGAAACTTTGCATGTTTCTTGAATGTTATGACAAAATAACTTTTTACCTTTATTTAATTTTCCTTTAACCCACCGCAGAAATTGTTGTGATTTGATTTAAAATAATGTACAATGGAGTGAACACCACAACAAATAAAAAAAAATAGCAAACCAATGACTCTAATGTACTCTGACCTAACGGAGTGCCGCCTTAACCACAATGACACAAATCCAACTCTTTATTGCATAACACCAGAAGAACACAATGAACACAATAAAGGCCATGAAGCTCGCAGCGGTGACGGGGAAACAAAAATCACCCGCAGTTCGATTGAATGTGCCGCGTTGACCCGGAGGGCGTTAGAAAGGTCACCAGGTGTTCTTCCATATTCGAGGAGGCCACCTGTGTCAAGCAAAGTACATTGTCCTTTACTCAAGAGTCGAACTTGAATAAGTCACCAAAGAGCATCTTGTGTTGATAAGGGTTAGTATTGTGTATGAGGAACTGATACTGCATGTTTTCAATGGTTTCAAATAATGGCCATTTTAAATTGGGAGAGATCCAAACTGAAATGTTTCCCTTGAACCAGCATCGGTATTACTCATTATACGTGTCATTTTGTTATGTATGCTATACTATGAATTATACCGAGTAATTACAGATCGAATCATAAGCATGAAGTCAAATGATTTCTCTCCTTTCTCTGCCGTTATTACCATGTGTGCATTCGCTGATATTTCTTCCAGTGACTTAACGTTTGGCCGGATAAAATAAACATTCTAAAAAGTGCATGAGAATGAACATATTAATATTTGCATTGAAATGCACTGAAACATGTTTGTTACAGTACAAAACTCTGCATAGGAATGATTCAAAGAAACTAAAGAGAAAAATAATGTCAAAAATGGCAGGAACCTGGAAAAAGACTCAATGGCAGACAATACACAAGCTCCCAATTGGGTTTTATTTCTGAACATTACAAAATATGTAGTGTCCTCTACATCGCTTGTTCCCTGCTGGCCATTCTCAGGATTCTCTCCAGCGGCCCTCCGGTCAGAGAAATGACTGCGATAAAATGTCATGATGAGAACGGAAAAATGTCACTCTTGTTAGTATTGAAACGTGACTTGAAGTTTAATTCTTGTTTGCGCTGCACACACCACAACGCACTGGCGCGCACGTGGATCCCTCTGACCTATCTCAATATTAAATAGAAATCCCTCTTTGACATGTGTGCATGTACAGAGACACTTTGTGGCATATATCAAAATAGAGGCAAGCGCACACACAAGGGAGATTAATCTAGGATAAAATTCCTAGTTTTTTGTCCGATAGGTCTGCAGCGGTGACAGCAAAAGGGCAAAGAGGCCCACAGAACGGCCCCTGCAACACTCTCTGCAGTTCAGTTGGTCATGTGACGGAGTGCTTGTCAAGTGACAGCAACTAATGAATTTTACCCTCAGCACAAGAAGGCCGAAGCAGCGTGGAGGGGGAGATGATGACGATCGAGGTTATATGTTGTATTAAGAGAAATGCACCGACAACTGTGGCAACAGGAGTGTAAAATACTCAAACTATAGTAGTACATTTTAATTGGCACAGCCGTGGTTTCTCCACATTCTATCAAGGCCGTATAGGTTACAGTTGACACTTATCTCATCTTCTTCCAGTGATTCAGCTGACTTGTTTGACATGTTCCCATAAATCTAGACATTTCACATTCACACCTCCCAATCGTATTAAATCTGCGTAGTGCACTAATGCAGACATCCACCGACACACACATAAATGAACAGACGGACTGAGAACCAAGTTAGATTGAATAAATGAAATAAATGCTGTTATTTGCCGGCCCATCCAGCACCTGCAGCCTGTACATCGTGTTCATGAACACACAAACGGAGGCAAGAAAACCCTAAACAATTAAGAGGCTGAAGTCAAACAGCTGCGTGTGCAAAAGCTGTTGACAATGGGGACCTACATGTCGGCACGGTACACAATGTGCATTTTCAGGCGGTGAAGATTGTAGCTATCAAAGTGCTTTTCAAGGATTTTCTCTCCGAAGTGCGAACTGTCACTGCTTTGCTTACACTGATGCACTTTTCACTGGGCGTGTTTTTATTTCTTTCTGCTTGACTAAATCACTATTTGTACAGATGTAGCACAAGGAAAAAAACTATCATTTACATTCCCCTAAAACACACACAACATCCTTGTGACTTTTCTGAGCGGAAAAATGACAAACGGTAGAAGAAAAGACACACTTGGTGTGGCCAAAATAATTTGTTATATAATCTCAAGCATCATAACCTAGTCAACCATCAGGTTAAAGGCCACTGCTTTTAAAATTAGCATTTTAAAATGACACCAAGCATCCTCAAAATGGCATATTTTGTTGTTGAGATATTATCTATGTTTTCCTCTATTCATCAGTATATAACGTGTTAATATAGCAACTGATGCTTGAATCCATGGAGACTTTCCTCCCCATACAGCCTGCAATATATACGCAAACTGAAAGGAAACTCTCAGCAATTGATATGCTTCTTTAATCTAAGAAAACGACTTATTTTCCATTGAAAAATGAAAGTACCCCACCTCCATCTTTATGATTTTGAAGGAACCGATGTTATTGGCTGGCATACGAGCAGCCAAATGAATCTGCTAGAGACCTACAGTACGTCCATAATCTCCCAAGCAAGGCGTCTCCGCCAACTCACAGCATGCAATTAGCAAAGAATAACAGTGGCATGTGGCGTGTAACAAGCAACAGGGATCAATCTCTTATTACGGCTCCCTGACCTTGACGAGTACCAAGAAAGTCAATTTCAGCCCCGGAAAAGGAGTCAGTTTGACCAGGAAAGCTTTATCATTTTAAAAGCTCTCTGACCTTACCAACAGAGCTACTAATAAAGTCAATTTATGGAAAAAGAAAGGAAGCTTGCCATTTCCCTGGCTAATACGTTTACGTCGAGAGGAATTTGCCTCACAAAACCGTTTTAATTGCACTTTCCCTTTATTGTTTGCTCTCCAGTTAAATCCACTTTTGCAAATTCTGAGGAACCGTGGCCCTATTTCCCCAGACAAAATGCAGCTGTTGCTACCAGCTCGTTTTCACATTAACCTCTCGTGGCCCAGTCCTTGTGTATCCTGTTGTGGTAAATAATGGCTGTGCCACTTTCACAGCAGGCGAACGCAAAACGGTGTTCTCAGCAAACCAACATCCGCCCGGATGTAATGCAACGCGCACTGACCATTAACCTGCGTGCGTGTTTGTGCAACCACATTAACAGTTCGTTAGAGAGTCCCTCTCAGTTACAAGCAGGGTAAAATAAGGATGCTAGTAGAATTAATGTATAAACTATAAACCTCTGCTCCACAGACTGATGCAATTCTTTCAGATTTGAATCATTTCACAGGCCTGGATTTCGGGATGTTTGTTTCCAAAATGCTTGGTTTTCTATGTGAAAACGTTAAAATTACCAGACTAAGTTGGCACACACATTAACTAAATGTAACATGCAGATGCTTGGGGGGTCCTGGAATGACGAGGATACAACAGATATCTTCGGTAACCAACTTTATTTTTTCAGCACAGTGTCAATCTGCCTCCAGCCTCCTCGTCTGGCGCCGGATCTCCACTACTGAAATACAGTGACAAACAAATGTTGATTTCCTCAACCTGAGGCCAATTATGCCGCCACCTCGCACCGTTCCCTGAGCCACTCCCTCTCCGCCCCCTCTGCAGCTCAGCCAAACGCCGGCCGCCACCGCACCAAGCACTTCTATTGAATTAGTTTTTCTCTTAACAGGCACGTAGTAGAACCTCCCGTCTGCATAAATATTTCACTTAGTGACAGCTGTGACAGCCTGATGGTGGAAGGGCGGCTGGGTTCAGGGAGGAGTCCGGTGATACTTAAATATCACAACAACACAAGCTTAAGCTGCGGCTGTTCAGAAAACCAACTTGTCTATGTGGCAAGGTTTGATAAATAGCACTTATTTAAGTTATTGTCGTCAATGTTTTTCCAAAAGTGTGCTTAACATTGGCAAAAAAGGCAAGACAATCAAACCAGTAGTTGTTGCCACTGTGTATGTATGTAAAGCTATTCATCTTAACTGAAAAGCTTTGTGTCCCATCCCATCGGCCCATACACACTGGCAGCAGCACAGGGTAAAATGTCAAATGCCATGCCGCTTTGGATAAAAGTGTTTGCTTAAATGACATGTAAAACTTCTCTTGCCTCAACCACCTAATGCAAAGTTCCTTTATTGAGTGTGGCCAGCAGAGACAAACTCCTGGTAATCTCTCAGGCTTCTTTGCCTTGTTCTCCTTCCGAACAGAAGTTTGGCACGCTTCTCCTCCCGCAGCGTTGCTCGGAATTGTCTCAAAATTTCAGCAAGTGTCGGCACCCATCGAGAATCGTTTGCTATGACCCAGCTAAGAGAAATGACCTACGGTTTTCCCAAAAATCCCCAAATGCCGAGCGAAAAGGCTCCATTGGAACAAAGGGAGTTCCAAAAAACAACATACAAAAACATAACTTTGCAGCCCCAGTGTCTTGCTATACTAGAGAAATGATTTAAAGCTTCAAACGTTGGAAAAAGTCGGGGGGCTCAGACATTACGGCGGGTTTCATGCCGTTGGCTGTATCGTTTCCCCACCCCGCCGATACGGCCAACGGCATGGGGTGGGGGCAAGGGGCATAGCACTAGCATTTGAGGAATTTTCTAGTTTGTGTTATTGTTATTGTTTGCACTCAATATTTATTCTTTGACTTAATAAAATCATGGAAAGGCTTTCCATTTGATTGATTGGCTTTCTTTTAGCACTAAGAATTATGTTCGGCCGACTTAATTGTATTGAGTTAAGTTAATGCAAATGAATAGGTTACATGTGTTCACTTTGAACTCAATTAAGTTCAACTAACTTTACTAAATCGTGTTAAAACAGATTTTAACGTTCATATCAATTTAAACTATATTAACCCAGTAACGTGGTGTTAGAGTAACGTAATTTCCTGTAGAGAGAAACAAAGAAATTAAAAGCAAATCACTCATGTGGAAATCCTTTACATCAGGGGTGCTCAATACGTCGATCGCGATCCACCAGCCGATCTCCAAGGTACTATTGGTAGATCGCATGACAAGGTGAGGTGACATTGTCATGAACTGACGCTATACAAATAAAGTTGAGTTGTTTTGAATAAAAAAACTAGACGTCAGCCTATCAGCCATCCCGTCACTTGATTGATACACAGGACGACCAGTCAGATGACATCTGATTTTTTTCCCCGTACAATTAGGTCACTGTGCGTGTTCAAACAACGCCCCTGAGCGCTGCAAAGCTAACAAGCTAGTCGTTAGTTACATCCTAATTTTTCGCTCGTTTTTTTCCTCTTAAACGTAAGATAGGGTATAAAAATGAGTGGGGGAGCTGGACCAAGTGAAATCACTTTCATACGGAATGGGAGGAGGACTTTTTTTTCACGATGACATTTTCAAAGTGCGTTTGTCTCGTCTGCCAGTCTACCGTCGCAATACCAAAGAAGGGAAATGTGGAGCGGCATTTTCAACATAAGTTGTAAGAATCCTCAATATATTTCTCAATAAATATAATGGGTAGATCATTTTGACTTGGTCATTTCAAAAGTAGCTCCCATGCTGAAAAAGTGTGAGCACCCCTGCTTTACATGATTCTTTTTAAAGCCAACGATTTACTTTTTGGAGTGCCGTTACTGATACTCTATGGACACACAAGCCCACACAGACATACACTCGCATAGATG